GTGCGATAGACTTACCTCCACGTGGTGCACCCTGGGCAACGTATACTCATACGGCAAAAAGGTCTATTAACCGGCAGTTGACTTCTGACTTCAAACTACCCCCACTATGCCATATTCAACCCATTTACAGTACTCATCTTACCTTTTCTCTGCTCTTTTGTCTGTCTCTGTCACATCTGTGAATCATTATTCTGTCCCCCCTCTCGACTTTTTGTCACTGATGTTCCTTCTCCTCTGTGAAGCCTGAAGTCAGCTATATGGCTAATGATAACTTTCAAAACGCCTGCCATTTGAAATAAATAAATAAATGTTTCCCTTGGTTTAATATCAGTAGTATATTGGCCCCGCATTCTTATTCGGTATTCTTTTTTAACCTAGGGAATATCTAACGATCGAATTCCTGAAAAAGTATATTCACATCGCCCGTCAACTGCGCCCTCAGTTGAGCAAAGAAGCTGCCACTATTATCTCCGAAAAGTACTGCGATTTGAGAATGCAACAAGATTCCGAGAATTCAACCATGCGTCGCACCCAACCAGTCACAGCTCGTACCCTCGAGACGCTTATTCGTTTAGCCACAGCCAACGCCAAGGCTCGTATGTCAAAGACCGTAACCAAGAAAGACGCTGAGGCGGCTGTAGAGCTAATTTCATTCGTTCTCTTCAAGGAGGTGCTTGAAAAGACCACACGAAAGCGTCGACGCGAAACTGATGAAGAAGGCAGTGGTGGATCCGGAGTTGACTCCGAACCTGATACTGATGGTGGCGAAGCTAGAAAGTCTACTCGTAGAGGCCACAAAAGGTATGTGCATTGTTTGCTAGCTTACTTAGAGCTCAAAATGTGCCACATGACTGGGCTTACTTTTATTCTCCATTTCATAATAGCAAGGGAGAGTACAGACCATTAATTCTATTTAGTGTGCGCATATCCGGTTAAAAGTGTAACCATCCTCCACTTTATTGTCTCCTAGTTACCTTGTCGTCTTCAGATTGTTAATTACAAATGTATCTATTTTGGCTAGGCATAATCCACACTTGTCCGTGTGTGTGTGTGTGTGTGTGTGTGTGTGTGTACGTCTAGGAAAAGTAGAGAGAACTTCTACTGATAGGGGTTGGGTGTTTTTCCCTGTGGATAGGTATTTTTCAGTAAGTGGCGAAGAAACTGGTGCCAAATGTATCAAATGATGGAGATGCTATAATTGAGGGATGGGCAGGTCTCTGACATGTTGTGTTCCATCACTTTCTTCTCCCTCCCTCACTCCCCTCATCGTATTTTTAAGTCGCCAATTCTAAGGAAAATTATTTTGGACAAAAAGTGTGCTCTATTCTGTCTTCCGCCTCTCTGTTGTAATGGGCTTGTGTGAATAAGAGGAATGGCCAAATTAACGACTTCTTTTGCCTTCTTTTGTGTGAGTAAATTGCTTGATTGACAGGCTTACCCATTTGACTAATTAAATTTTTAGACCAGCAAAAGAAGTCCAGGATTCTGCGGGTTTCGAACCCACACAGGCTACTGGTGCAGCTGCTGAACCAATGGAGGAAGGGGAGGAAGCGGGTCAATCTACTAATGCTTCACAACTATCAGACGCTCGACTTAATATCTTTTCAACCCTCGTCTCCAGAGCATTTCAGGAGCGTAGAATTGAGCAACTCTCTATTGCGGAGGTATGGTTCTCATTTGGAAATTCATGAGATTAAGTTTATCTATGGGTCACATCCTCACCCTTTCTTGAAAGCGTACTCCCTCTCGTGTTTTGTTATCATCTCTGTGTCGTAGCTATGCTTGTTATTTTTATTGCCCTCTGTGTGCATATGTGGGCATTCGACCGTTTAGAAAGTCTTAATAGCCCTAAGAGACAATAGGACACCATGTTGCGCCACGTAGGGCTAAATCAATGTAACGAAAAAAGGAGCTGTATAATATAGGAAATATCCATTTATTGTACTGTAGTTATTGGCCGGTGCTAGTTCAAAGATGAAAGGCGTTTTTTTCAAAATTTTAATTAAAGAACTGGAAAAATATGCTTCGTTGGAATTGTTTGAGAGCAATTATGGACCACAATAAGTTAGCGTTATGACGTAAACTTTTAAGGAACATATTGTTGGCGTTGTAGCCCGTTGTTATCATCTAAGTGGACTACCATATTGCTAATGTAATTATAACTTTATCCAAATCACTCACGCAAAGTAAAAATTTGCACCAAAGCTAAAATCATTTAGTATTTTAGACCAGTGGCAAATATTTTTTTCAGAAATATGACTCTTCGTTTTTTTCCAATACTTTTTGTTGGGGGAGTTAAAGTTTTGAAGCCCCTCTACAGATTGCCTCTTAACCTCTGTCTCTACTATCTGCCCCCACCATCACATAGTTATTTGGTTATTCTGTTCACCAAATGAACGTTTATTAAAATCGAGTCCATAACCTCTGACTTTAGCTCTATTCTACAGGGACGCCATTTTTTGATAATGATCCTGCTGGTCTAATTCTATATAACGTTTTTTTCGCTTATTTGAGCTTTCATTATTTTGCTAGTATCATTGTGTGCGTTAGTGACGTTGTGGTCTAGTCAGATGACATGCTCAGAATAATCGATCGTATTGATCAGCAAGGAGATAATCTAATCGAAGCGTAAAAGGAATAACTCCGCCATCCTATAAGCAGTTATACTGTAGGCTTCCTTCAAATTCTATGCACCCAGGTGTGGAGTCTATCGAATATAAAGTAGAGTTAAACACATTGTAATATACTTATTTCAACCAAAGTAGTATTTCAAATAGAGAAGGCTCTAGGTTTTCTTTTCCAATAGTGGAATTATTGTATGCTAGTAATCAAAGTGCGTGCCACGAGGTGGAAATGTCTGACCGCATTGGTTGGAGTGCTGGTCAATAAGTGGGATATTAAAGTGTGAATTTCCCACTGGCGTGTGTCATGAGTGGCGTTTGCATTCCCTTCCAAAGTCTTGGGAGATTTTAAGCAATCGCAATCATCATCAAGGCATTGTTTTTACTTCTTGTTTTAGCTCGTGGCATTCGTCACTGAACAGACGAGGGAATTCAGTCGTGCCGAAATCCTGGCTGGTCTGGAGACACTACACAATCGCAATCGCATCATGCTCACCAACGATGATGTTTGGTTGATTTAAACAAGAGGGGGAGGGGGGGAGTGTGATGGAAATGCACTTATCATAGAAGTGGTGTAAAAGTAATAATCATTTTAACAAATTTTGAATGTTTAACGAATTCCCTCTCTCTTCGTATCGCTATTTTTGTGTAATCAACGATGGGCTAAGATTCGTAAAGAATAATAATAATGTCTATTTTGTTACTTCTGTCTTGTTCCTATTCAACCTGGTGTTGGTAAAATTGGGAGTATGTATCAAGTGTGTATCCCTTTAATTCGAGCTAATAAAAGAAAAAGGTGACGTTTTTCAAAATTATCTCTTAATAAATAGTTTAATATAACTATGATTCAGAGTCCTATCGTAAAGGTCCAATATCTTTTGTTTTGTTCCCAACATTGCGCTTTTCAAATTGAGCAACTAGCAAACTGCTCTGTCTTGTAGTAACCAGTGCGATTTACCACTATATTTCTACGCGCTAACTCTCTAGAACCAAGACAAAAGTGGGAGTTTTATGATGCAATACAGGTGCTGAATGCTTCATACCCGAAAGCCACATTTTTCCATGTTTAAGTCTATTAATTACGAACTGCGTATTTTCAAGATGAAATTTAGTTTTCTGAATCTGGATGCATTACCATGGTTGGCTGAATCCAATTATACTCCTAGGACGCCAGTACATATGTCATTATTAATTATTTATTTATATCAAATGGTAGTCGTTTTGATAGTTATCATTAGCCCTTTAGTTGACTTCAGGCTTCACAGAG